AAAAAAAAAAAAAAGAATATACAGATAGAGGCAGCGTGGTTCAGGGGTAGAACTCTTGTCATCCATGATGGGTTAGATTCCAGGCTAATATGTCTCAACGCAGCCACCACCCACCTGGCAGGGGAGGCTTGCGCACTGCTATGATGGTGAACCAGTATTAGCGGAGCTTTCAGACTAACACAAATTAGCAGGAAAGGGCTGATGATGGTCTCCTTCTGAAAATCAGCCACTGACAACTGTACATAACAATCTTATTGTCCACGGGTTATCATGACTAGCAATCCACATGATGGCAGCTAACACAAAAAACTGACATGTCCGATGAGGGGAAGGAATATCACGTTCCAAAAGGGTCATTTTAGAACTTCAAGAGGTGATAGACACATGAGACACAGCAGAAGTCACCATGGCTCAGAATATGAACAGACCCTCCTTTGCTAAGCAGTTTATATCCTGAACAGCTTTACATGAAAGATAAAACCAGCCTGCTATGAAGATGCCTGCCAACTTCTACCCAGGAAGGTGCCAATAAAATAAATCTTCTTGAGTTTAAGCAAAGTAAGGACTTATGATGCTATTTTCCCCAAGTTCCAGTGCTAAAGAATCTCATATCAGACAACCACTGCTGCCTGTAAAAGACCACCAAGTTAGCATCTTACAAATCATGGCTCATTTACTCTTCACTGTGAGGCTGTGAGCACATATGCAGTTCCGTTTCTTTTTCGGATTCTCCTAACCCCCATCTCAATGTGGCTAACAAGCAGTAACTATTCTATTATTCAGTAACTAAAGAACTTAATAAAGGGTATCAGAATATGAAATGTTCATCTAGAAGAAACCATATAACAGGATTTTAAATCTTAACATAAAATGACAATATATATATATATATTTAGAACTCAGGGGAATACTGGTGTCGGGCACACTATCATTTCCTGGTGCCGCTTACGAAGACTTCCCCAAAACACTAGAGCAGTACTTATGGAAAATGGTAAAAGAGTTCTACCCTTGAACACATTATAAACAAACTCAGTGAAAGTCAGAGGCAAAAAGGCAAATGGGAGTAGAAATGGAGCTTCCTGTGTAATTGTTGCTAAGACAAACAATGGTGAAAAAGAAATTATTTTTCCTAGAGGGTGAGAAAACCAACTGATAGAAGCCTTTGACTTCCTAATTAATTTTCCTGAAAACCGGACATTTCACACTACCCAGGAAGCCACGGTGCTGCAGATGTTCCAGGTTACATCACGAGAAAGAGAAGAGCGAGAACAAACCAAGGTGATCTCTGGCACTTTACAAAATAAAAACAAAAACACCTTCTGGGGTCTTATCTAAGGTCGGCACCTAAACAGCTGTTCTGTATTTACATCATCTGTGCTACAGGTATGTCAACCTCATTCACCATCATCAAAGTGTCCACAAGCAAAGGGACATACTCTATTTATAATGAATAATGACTTTAAAAATACTAGGAAAAGCAGATGACTCTTAAATTTCCTGACATCTGCCCTTATGTAAATGTGCAATCAAACTTACAAAGACTTAGTTTAAGAAAAAGGTTGTAGTAAAAAAAAAAAATCGCCTTTCACAAGGTCATGCAACATCCTCATAATGTGATAGTATATAATATAAACAAAACAAAACCAAACCCCAAAAGCCAGAAACTGGATGTGATTTTTCTTACTGGTGTGTTTTATACATTTACTTTACAAGACTTTTGAATTATTGATGTTGTATTTATTTTTTCTCAACTTTGTAATATTTCTTATAAACTCAGCTTCACTATAGGCTTCAAAAAAAAGATAATAGTAAAGCTTTATCATACTTCAAGAAAGCATCAATTTTTAGGAAATTATGAAAACTCAGCTTCAAAAATAGGAGTATTTCTGGAAATTCTGAGCTGATATTTTCATTTTTACCCAATTTGAATTCAGTAATATGACAGACCAACTTTTCAAGTCTAGGTGAGTAAGAAGAATGTGGTTTTGTAATCTTTCATTCTAAATTATAAACACCCAAACCAGTGATGTTCAACGACGTAGGACATACCAAAGATTTGAGCTCTTCATGAAAATGCAATAAATCATTGAGCCATCTTACCTGTCGACGAATTATTCCTAGGTCTCTTCTGGCCTTGTTCACGAGAGTCTGAATTTCTACAGGATCCTTTACATTTTTATTTTCTCTGAAGGCATCTCTTATCCTTCTGACAGCATACATTCTAAATGAATTCAGAAGGGGGAAAAATATCAGCATGCCTGAGGTTATGCTTTTAAGTGAATTTAAAAGCTTTTCTCTTAGAAATTAATTGTCTAGTATTCTCCAATGGATAATTCACTTTGATCTTTGCTCTTGGGACAAGTCCATTACTATTTTTACATAACTAAGAGTGTAGATTTAGAAAAAGAAATCTACCCTAAACAAAGCACCTATGATTGTCAAACTATTGCTGAAATTTGTCCTTCAATTGCTGCACCTTTTGAGTTTGGCATGTTCAGCCTTGCTTCATTAACATGGATGACTGATTCTTTGTTGTAAAGAGACAAATCAATATTCAAGATATTAAATGATGCATCACATATGTGTGAATCAAGACAGGACTAAACAGGACTTGGTTCAGTGTTCCAAGCCCTGTCCTGACTTTTTGTAGGCACTTTCTTGGTTACATAAAATACAATGCTGCAATCTACCTGGAGGTTGTATGATAAAGTACACAATTACGCCCCAAACGACTTTCTCTTCTTGCAGGTGCATGTACACCCACGTGCATGTGCCCCCTTCTCTTAAGACATAGATTACTGATAATGTAGGCTAGCAGCTGAAGAACATGGGATCATAGTGATTGTAATTAATTGTATAATGATTATCTGTCATGGAAGTATGTCGTATAATGCCACCTAAGTTTCTTCCCATATAAAGGTATAAAGGAAGAACGTACTATTAGGTTATGTCAGACAGAGATTCTGCTCATGTGTGGCTGGTAACCTAACAGGATTTTAGATAGCTAGATTAGCTAAAAGCAATTTCTAGTGCATTTTCTTGCACAGTATAATTATTATTTATATAACACATTATGACTGTTCTTCCTCACACCCACATACTCTTCCAAAACAGTTTCTTTTTTTACAGTGATGGGAGAAGGGAGAGGACAAAATAATTTAATTTAAACATTTTGTTCCATAGGCAGAATTGGTTTTATAACATGAATCTGTCCTCAGGGAATAATCCATTGTTTTATTTCTTCATTCAGGATGCTGCATGGGCTTTTAGGAAAAACAATATAGGAAATAGGCATAATCACAATTTTTCTAAAAGTTAGTGACTATCACAGAGTATCAAACCAATATATACCATCTTCAAGTTGATTCCAACTCATAGTGACCCTCCATCAGGTTTCTGAGGATATAAGTCATAACAGAAGCAGACCACTGTATCATTCTCCTGTGGAGCAGCTGGTGAGTTTGAACAGATGACCTTTTGGTTAGTAGCACAACTCGTAAGCCACAAAGCTACCAGAGCACAGAACAGCTATGGGAAAAAGAACCCTGGTTGGCCTGTGAAGACTCAACATCCTCCAAAGTTTAAGGAAATGAGAAAATAGCAAAACTTCAATTTTATATCAATTGATATCCTCAGTCTAAAATATCCTGCTATGTACTCTTACCGGAAACCCTATAAACTTGGAGAAACAAGTGTTCAGGTCTTTTATTCATAGGGTTGCTATGAGTTGCCTATGACTCAATGGCACTTAACAACAACATCGAGAGAGCTCTGTTGGCCTAGATGGGTGACTTTAATCCACAGCCCTCAGGCCTGGTTTTATTGTTTTTGGCCAAACATTCTTCTAGGTCGTATAACCCTGGTCTGTCCACTTGCCATACAACGATAACTCATGTTTGCTGTGATGCTGAACACTGTGACAATGATGTGTTAAACATGATAATGGTTACCCATGGTGGACAGTGCTTAGTGGAGTTCCCCAATTAAAACAAGCCTGGAAGCGGCATCTACTTCCATAATAGTTTGCCTCTAGAAACCCTATGAACCTGAAGAAATGATGAAAGTCATACAAGTGCTCAGGTCTTTCATTCATAAGGTCGCTATAAGTTGCCTATGGCTCAACCTCTGCGGCACTTAACAACAACAACAAAAACAACATATACTCTTATCCCTTCAAATCTCCGAAATCTGTATCCAAAGAAACGAAGCTCTGGATCTCAGAATTAAATGTGTCTTAAACAACCAAGAGTCAGGACATAAATTTTGTATGCACTTTTGCTCCTCTCCTTTTTGCTCTTAAAACACAAGGTATTTTCCTTTGCTTTGCAGTGACAGACACCAATTCACTTGGCTGAGAAACAAAATTAACTGTTACGTACAAACATCTGTGTGACTCTTCATTTCAAATAATCACAACTTTGAGAAGGCAATCACAAATCTGGTTGAACTTTTAAATTTTGTAGGAGGGAGACGGCCAACCACTAATTACTTTCATTTTGCCTCTGAAATGGCACTTTTTTCCTCACCTGCATTTTTGTTCATCTGCTAGTAAGGTAAACCATTTACCCTGGAACATATTCTACCTATCAGCCTAGGCTGTAACTCTGGACTACATTTCAAAGAAAAATGCACAGATGCTGTACAAAAATAGCAGCCAGCTGCTACACAGTGCCGTGAATTAGCATGATCCTAATATGAGTCAGATGTTGTTTGAAATGAGTCATGAAAAATTAACACATGAGGGCACTAGAACAGCAACAGTTACCAAATGTGAAAAAGCAGGCCACATCCACACCCGCTAGCTCACACAGTCAGCACTCGCCATCCTGTGGAAGCTTTGCGGAGTTTATTTGTGCTTGTGTTCAGAGTTCCATTTGGCCTTATTTCTCCACCTCATCTTCTGTCTGCTACCACATTTCTGAGTGTCCACAGGTTCCTCTACTGGCTGTCCTTTCAGCATGCAAGAATAAAGCTCCTTTCTGAGATTTTTCTACCCAAAGCCCCAGTACAGCTGAAAAGGATCAGAGCTCTTCAGTGTTGGGTCCTGATGCACTCTCTCTCCTCCCAGAATGAGACCTCCAAATGAGGGCTGCAGCCAGAGCCTCCCAAGCACTGAAAGCTCACTAATGTTACAGCTTTAAAGAAAAATTAAAATAAAATAAAATAAAATAAATCTGAATTTCAAAGTGCCATGTGGATACCACTTATTGTAATGTCTCTCATTTCTGTCACCCTTCACCACCATCCCAAAGGCTGGTTTCTCCATCTGCTCATTCTGTACAAATATCTGTCTTTCCCTTCAGCTTCTACAGGCTCAAGACCAGTATCCCCAAAACATAAGAAAGAACGCAACCTTTTCTGTGGTCCTCTTTGGAATAAACTCGATCCACCTTAGAGAGACTGTGCTTTCTTGTTTTCACAGCCATTAAGGAAGCTGTGTGATTCTAGCATGCCTCCATATCCCACAGGACTATGAATAAAGGAACAGTGTGTCTCTGGGTCTTATACTACTTTCCAACCATCGGTCCACCCTACACATCTCTGAGAGCTGTGCCATCTGTTTATCCCATGTTGCATGTCTCCCTGGCACAACAATCTGCTTACTTATAGATCAACTCTCAATTTTCATAAGGTCTTACTAACTAAAAAACACTCAGTGAATGCACAGGCAACCAACTTTAGGTAATTTTAATTTCTAATAAAAATAACGGGAGTGGCCTTGTGGTGAAAAATTGCACTGTAATTCCAAAGGCACATGGTTTGAATCCACCAGCTGCTTTTGAGAGAAGGATGGGCAATCACCTCGCTCAAGTGTATTGCCTCTGAGAACATAATCGGGATGGGTGTGTCAGAAGCAAAGCGATTGGCACAGGACAGAGCAGGGTTTAGGGCTGTTGTACATAGGGTCGCTATGAGTCGCAAACGACTCAACGGCACATAACAACAATAATAATAATAATAATAAAGATTCTTCTGTTCAACACAGCCAAATATGAAATCAGCACTGTCTCTTCCTTTATCCTCATGGCCAGTATTTCCTTTCATAGATAAAATACCTTCCCGTAGCCACCTGTCCAAAACAGACATTTAGGGATTCATCCTATATTCTTTCTTTTCCTTGAATACTTTGTATTTACTCAACCACCAAATATTAGTGTTTCATCTTCCTATATCCATGTTCAAAATTTCTCTACTCCTCCATCTCCTTTTGCTCAGAGCTTTGGCTTAGGATCTTATTTCAAAGCAGCCTTAGAATATGAGTGTAACAGCCTTAGTATGTGAGAGTATAACATGATGGATAATAACATAAGTAGAGAAAAATATCCAAGAATATTTATATATCATAAGCACGTCTGAGTAGATTACAAAGCAGACAGTTTCCTCCACTTTATAATATGTTCACACCACAACGTCAGTGCCACCAAAGAGGTATTTCTATCTTGTTTATTATCATCAAAGTGCCCGGCACAGAAATGGTATTAAATAAGTATTTATCCAATCAATAGATTTATCAAAATATTATAGAAAATATTAAAAAAACCCACCTTCAACAAACACTCCAATTATTAGGAAAATACAGCAAAACATAAGAAACTGCGTAAGAAGTAGAATTAATACTGCCTAGTGCCACTGTTGTAAAACAGGACTGACATCGGGGTTGAGGGGAGACTGAGAAAGATGGGATAAATGTATACTGCATTGAAACAGATGAGGGAGAAAACTATTTAAAAGGGATATGTGATTAGGTATTACTGTCATGATGGGAGTCCAGAACAAAGGCTGCACAGTGGAGTCGACCTGGGGGGAGGAATTGTAAAACAATGAAAGAATTTTTCTTTTTCTTTTCCAAGAGGGGACTGTACTGGGAGGGGAGGGTTGGGCGGGGAGAAAAGTGCAACAATGAATGAATGGAAATCCAGTCTATGTAAATTTTCATTGTTGATTGTTGTTGTTATGTGCTGTTGAGTCCTTTGCGACTCATAGCAACCCTATGCACAGCAGCCCTAAACCCTGCTCTATCCTGCACCAACCGCACTGCCTCGACACACCCATCCCGATTACCCCAGTCACCGAATCAATCCATCTCATAGAGGGTCTTCCCCTCCTGCGCTGTCCCTCCACCCTCCCAAGCATGATGTCCCTCTCCAAGGACCCGTCCCTCCTGGCAACATGTCCAAAGTATGTCAGGAGAAGCCCCAGAATCCTTGCCTCCAAGGAGTA